TATTTTTTATAAAACAAATTTAGAGAACAAGTTTATAAAAACATTATATAAGTATATAAAATAAAGTTAAGAGGTGAATACTCTTAAAAATAATTAAAACAATATTAAATAGTAAAACTATAATAAAGAGTTAAATATATGAGGTTATGACATACAAACAATTTATCAAAAGACAGAAATTTAGGCATCCCGAGTGGGAAAATGCCGAGAATTTTAGAATAGAAGTAAAACCAAATAAAAACAATTTCCCTTTCGCTTACTAGCAATAGTAAGTCTTTCCCTTAAAAGTGGCAAANAATATTCNAGCGGATTTCTTATCAGTTCCACTGTTNGNNTATTNNNNTAAAAGCAACTGATAAACAGAGGCTAAACTGTTTTAAAAGAAATAGACAGAATTATACTTTTTAAATATTAAACATATGCCAAAAAACAACAATTTAATTCCCTTAGTGGAAAATAAAAAACCGGTTGAGGAAGTTTGAGAATTGAAAGATGAAGTTCTTACTCATGATGAAGTTATTAATTCTTTTGAGGAAAGACAAAGTTTAATTAGTAATAAGTCAAAATTGTCACTTGCTGCAAGAAATAAGATAATTAAAAAACATGGTAGCGATTATTTAAGCGAGAGAACTTTTAATAATGATATTGCTTTAATGCAGATGTATGGTCCGGGATTTTGGGATGATTTTGCAAAACCAGTTGCCAAAGGAGCATTGATAGCTGCTTCTTTTTTTCCTCCCACGGCTCCTATAGCTTTACCAATAGCGGCAGGCNCAGTAGCAACGGGAGTGGTAGCAACAGGCGTAGGTCATTTTTCTGGTGATAAAGATTTGAAAAAAGTTGGAATAGATTTAATAGAAATAGGAGGAAGTGCTGTGGAAANAACAAAAGAACTCAAAGATGCAGGAGCCGATACAGTTGTTCGTCATTATACTCGAAGAAATTAGTTCTCTTTTGCTCTTTTGTCTAATAAAGTAAGAAAGAAATCAAAGAAAAATCGAAAAAAGATTTTTGTTTTTCATTTTTTAGTTTCTTTTTTGATAGTTATGTTTATAAATGCACTTCTGATTATTTTTGTGGAAAAGTGGAGGGAGTATTTTCTTTTTTGGGATTATTCATTATTATTGTGGTTAAGTCTTTTGTTTGGNTGTTTAGTTTATGCTTTTTTTAGAGCAATGGAATTAAGACCTGAAAATTTGCCAAGAATTCCCCCTTTTCCTAGGCGATTTTAAAGGTCAAAGAATTTCCGCGAGTTCTTTCTCTCACTTTGTTAAGGTTCAAGTATTTCATTGGTTCGGATGATAAAAAAAGTGGGGAGTTTAATCGCTCCCCCTAATAATTAAGCCTTTTCCTTGGTTCAATTATTAGTCTTTTTCTTTGAGTTTTTTCAGTTCCTCTGCCAGTTGAGTTTTTTCTTGGCGAATTTGGACTAGTTTCTTATTTAATTCTCGCAATTCTTCTTGGTTAGTTCATTTTTTATACCATTCTTCTTCTTTAAAATTTGGATTAAATTTTTGACGCAATTTAAGGTGTTCTTTTCAAAATATCTCCGCTGTTTGTTGGGAGAGGGTATTAATGGTGCCAATGCGATAAACCGAAGTTTCTCCTAATAGTTGCCGGACATAATTGTGTGCCGCCTTTTGGTATTCNCCGGAAAAATTAAGGTCAATATCCGGAGTTTTTTCGCCTTCTCAACCAAAAAAAGTTTCAAAGGGTAAATTATGTCCTTCCATGCTTAGTTGAGCCGAACAATGAGGACAATTTTCTTTTTCTTGATAATCATAACAAGAGTAAGTTTTATCTTTAGTTTGGTAAAGTTNAGTATAATGACACTGAGAACAAAATTTATAAAAAGGGAGCGGATTCAAGTCAGTAATTCCGCATAAGTAGGCAATAAAAGAGGAGCCGATGGAGC